TGTATGCTTAATCATCGTCAAAATTTGACCTTATTTTTTTCTTTTATTTTTTTTTTATTTTTTATTTTTTTATTTTACCTGTGATCATAACTGCCATCAGCAATCAGCGGAAAGATATCTTTAGTTTGTAGCATATGTTGGAGTACCTTGCAGCCATACTCAACCGTGTACTTTGGATGATTTCGAGAAATTGGTGGAAACGGCCAAAATTTTGATGTAGGTTTACTTGTTGTATCAATTTTTTTACTTTTTTGTAATTCAATAACTTCTTTTAAAAGTCCACAATGAATTTTTGGTAAGAACTCGAGTAAGATATGCCTATTCCATTTGAGTTTTTGATGATCAATATCTGGTGTATCATCTTTTTCAATTAATAATCTTGCACGATCTGAACTTTGAGCCCAGGTTCCACTTAAATGAACCGGTAAATGTGTAACATCAGGTAATGAAAGAAAAGAATACATTCTACCCTTAAATTCACTCGGAATCATACTTAAATTTACGAAAATAGGGTTAATCGGTTGGTCCAAAGTATGAATTCTTTTTTTAGAACTGCTTAATGGTGCAGCGATACCACCTAAGATACGTAATCGATGTCGTTTTGCATATTGTTTAAGTTGAGGATCTTCAGGATCTTTTTGAGCACCAGTAGCAATTATCCAATGATCTATTTGTTTGGTTTCATTGTCAATTAACTCAACTTTCATCTCATAAATTTGAAGTTCATCATTACTGATACGTTTTCTTTTATTTCGTACATTATCATCTAATCCTATTATGGTTGCTTTCCATAGAGGAACCATTTGTTGTGGAGATGTACCTCCTGGTATATGAGATACTTCAAATGTTTCAATATTTCGAAGAAATAAAAATTGAGAGGCAGCATTTGACTTAATGTTATTAACTAATTGAAGAACCTGATTAGTAGTAAAAATACTATCAGATATTTCACTTGGTTGTTGACGGAATGGTAATCGAAAGAGTGTTCCATCAAAAGTTGATCGAAAATCGTTGCCTTCAATACCTTCATAAGGAACTAATTGGTCTCTTTCGGAGAAACCATTAATACCATCTTTAGGAAAAGTACCAATACTACCACGCTCTTTTGTTGGTAAATATTTTTGATGTGGATCCAAAAATGCAATGTAATCCCCACTGACAAAACTTGGTACATCGGTAAAATGATAGCATGAATTAAAGCCTAATCCATGTTTTCCAATTTTCGTATCATCACCTTGTTTTCCACCAACACGAATCTGCATAAGCGAATCAAAATCGCTTTTTTTAAATTTTGCATTATTGAATATTAATATGGCAGGACCTTGCCAAGCTTTCATTTCGTTTGAAAGTAAAGTTTCAGTGGGATGTCGACGAGCATCTATTATTACATGAAATCGAGTAGCTCCTGCATCATCGGCTGTTGTTTTTTTTTTTTTTTTTTTTTTTTAAGTGGATGATAATTTAGAATCGAATAAAAAATAAAGAATAAAAATAAAAATAAATAGATAAAATAAATTAAAATTAACAAGTATCAAAGTATAAAGTAAATTTCATACCATTTTGAAGGAATTCCTTAAAAACACTTTCGGAGGGATAATCCTAAAAAAGATATTAAAACAAATACTTTAAATAAATATAAATAATAAATTTCAAAGTTATCAAAACGAACCTTTGTAATATTTCGGATAGATGAGACAAGTGTCTCATTTTGGCCGTAAGGTTGACAACTTGAAACTAAAGACATTTATAAAATTTATTTCAGGAAAAAGTGTAAAGTATTCTTCAAATTTGTCCGCAGGATTGTGAATCAATGAAATACGCAAATATAGTTTTTTCATTTACTACAAAATTACACGGATGACATTCTTGTTACTGTTGTACGACGTCTTGTTGAATGTACAGAACATTCCCACACCGCACCGCACCGCCCACCTTAAAATTTTTTTTTTTTTTTTTTTTTTTTTAATTCAATCTTCTTTGATATTAAAATATATCGATATCACAGACACATTTTAAGCAAAATTATTATAACCTAATGCAAGACCTTTTCTTAAAAGGTGTATATATTATTGTAATTTGAATTATCTGTTATTCTATAAAGTTTCCGGATTACATCTGATATTTGATCTACGTTTGGTTGTACGAATCCAAAAAAGATTACATAAAAGCCTAATGAAAAATGTCGGGTAACACTAACCTTACCCGACCTCATTTAAAAAACGTAAACCCTAGAAAAGAAACTGATTGACGAACTAGTCCCGGCAAGTAAATCCGGGACTCAAAAAAGTATTAGGAAGACGCTAGCACTAGCGCTAGAGGTGGAAATTTATTTATCTAAACGTCCGAAAATAACTAATTATTAAAAACCAATCCTACAAGTATAGTATAAATAAAGTAACGGTGCAAAATTTTATACATCACGGACGCGACATTTAAATAGTGTTAATATAATCGCCATGGGATCGCACAAGCTTTTGATAATTCAAAATGGCATCAGCACCTTCATCTAATGCTAGTATCACTTTAACACAGAACCTCCCTGATGAAGAAGAAGTTAAAGTCATGGTTCCACCCTTGAATTTTGCAATGGTAGCACCAGGTGTTTATCGCTCCGGGCATCCCAATCGTAAAAACTTTCCTTTCTTAAAAAAATTAAAATTGAAGAGCATAATGTTGGTCAAATTTTATGTATGCAATAAAAGTTTTACTACATTTTAATTATAATTCATTACATAAAACAGATACCTTTCATCAGATGAATTTAATGAAGAACTTAATCAATTTGTGAATGAGCAAAAGATTGAGGTTTTCCATTATAAAATTGACGGAAATAAAGTATGAAATCATAATGGATTAAAAGTTTTTTTTTATCAAAATTATTTTTGCACTCAAATTATTTAATAAGGAGCCATTTATCGAAATCGAACAAAAAGAAATTAGTAGTGCATTAGTTAAAGTCCTAGGTAATTAAAATTTAACTTAACTTTTGTTGTTTGCATTCTAATAACTTTTTTTTTTTTTTTTTTTTTTTTTTTTTTTACAGACGTAAGGAATCATCCAGGTACTTAACATATTTTCATAATAAATATAAATTTTTTATTTTATTTTATTAAAATTTTTTTTTTTTTCAGTATTGATTCATTGCAATAAAGGAAAGGTAGTTACGTGTTTATTTTTTATTTTTAGATGTAATTAGATTTTACAATTTTAAATTTTTAAAATAAAACAGCATAGAATAGGTTGTCTGGTAGGATGCCTTCGAAAATTACAAAAATGGTCATTAACTTCGATTTTTCATGAATATCGACGCTTTGCCGTTACGAAAGTTTTAGCAGATCAAGAGGTGTTTTTTTTTTTTTTTTTTGAATGTACGCTTCATGTTAAAGTTTTAATTCAAAATTTAATGTTATTGCCACCTCGTATAATTTAGTTTATTGAAATATTTTCGGAACATGTACCATATAATCCCGAGTATAAACCTGAATGGCTATAAACGATAACTATCATATTTGATAATTCATTTATATAGCTCTCTTTATAAATATATTTCTTTTTTTATTTATAAGATAACAAAAGAAATAAAATTATATATTAGTCAAATTTACATTGACATACTAAATTATTTTATAATGAAAATAATAATTTATTAAATTCTTTATAATTCAGTTTTAAGTGATAAAATATGATTTAGATAGTAAGCCATTTTGAAGTACAAGAATACCAATGCATATCTGTTCAAAAAAAATATTATTATTAATATAGGAAAATATATATATTCTCAATTAAATTAATAAGACTATACCAAAGTTTTGCTCCGGATCACAATGACATCTTCCACTATCATGATATTCTTTTTCCGTTGGACAATGTTGAAATGGTGCATGATAATATGCTATATCATTGAAAAAATGAACTTGTGATTTTTGAGCAAATAGTGCTACAGCAATTGAATGGACAGGTGCATCTCCCCAACTTTTAATCATAAAAGAACGTCATATTAATAAAGGATTAAGAATATGTGAATTAAAGAATAAAATGTATTATACCGTTCATAGAAAAATCCTCCTGACTTGTCTAAGTAATTAAAGAAATCTTGATATTGGTTGGTTCTCCAAAAATTTAAATCACCAATTTCAAAGTTACTCCAAAAGTGACATCTTTTGTCACAAATATGAGACAGATTGTAATTAATTATTTCATTTTGATAAATAATTTTTTTTTTTTTATCAGCTCTTAAATTACTTACAAATTGTAAGTTGATCCATGATCATTACTAATAAACTTCATTGTATTGTTCTCACTAATATGATGTGGATATTCTTTTATAAACTGTTTTACGGCATCCCAAAGTGTAGGAATGGTAGATTGATATTCCAGCAAACTAATAGTAAATCCGTAAACTAATTTGTTCTTTTGCATAAATAAAAATGGATCATAATCGATATCGCACATAAAATTAACAGATGGCTCTAATCTCCAATAATAATCAAAAGGTAATAAAAGTGGATGTTGAAAGAAAAACCCTGAATTGAATCTGCACATGTGTCGATATGATTCTGATCCACCATATATTATACTATTTGCCTCCATTTCTGCTCGACTTTCAGCTGCTTTTGTCTGATTTATCCATGAAGGATAACTCCACATGTGCTCTGGAATTTTTCCTTTAAAAAAAATAAAATAAAATAAAGAAATAATTAATATAGTACTAACTAAATATATATATATATATATATATATACCATAATATGTTTTTGATTTTGTTAATGCTGAAGTTCTGTTTTTAAATTCTTCGGTAAAATCTACATCATTTAGGAATACATATGGATAATTGTATTTTTTATTCCATCTATCTTCCAATTCTCTCATTGCTCCCAATAACTGGTATAACTCTGAATTCCTAGCCAATACTACAACTGCTGCGTTTGCTCTTGTAATATTATAAAATAATGTTAAATCATTGTTTGGATTAATCCATTCTCTATTAAAAAAATTTGTTCGAAGATTTATTAAACG